GTCATCATTCTTTCTTTTCATGCGCAAGTGGTTACAAGTAAATTATTTGTTTTTATTATTAATTATCAAAAATATATAAATAGGTAAATCAAAGAAGAACACTTTTACAATTGGGGAGTCTACGTCCTCCGAGGATTTCAAACTTAAAAACAAAATTATAAAAAGAAGCTGGATGAAAAGGATGACGCCCAATATCACATGGATGTTAAACAAAATGGCGGCAAAAATGGTAAACGCTTTTCATGAATTGTCAAATGTTTTGTTTGGTTTAGATATGAGTTCATACTCCATCGATCAACATTAAAAAATACACGGTATACACTGTGATACAGGTTAGTTACCGGTCTTTTCCGTACTTATTATACAGTATGTAATGTAAAATAGACTAGTTAATGCAGGGGCGGCTACTCTTATAAGGCCACATGGACGCGCGGCCCTCCTGCCCAGATAGCACACGACGTCTGAAAGACGTCTTTTTTGTGTCTTGGTTTGGTCTGAATGTCCTAGGATGTTATTAAGACGTCTTATAAGACGTCTTGCAAAAGCCATAATTCAGACGTATGAATGTGAGCGCTCAAAGACGTCTTGCCAAATCCATATATAAATGTGAAAGCTCAACGACGTCTTTAAGACGTCTAACAAACGTTTTTCAGTCGGACGGAAACTTTCACGGTTTATATAATTCAAATTTAACAAGAAGAATCAAATAAAGTGAATTTTGATGTTTGACATTATACATTCAAGCTTCAAGCCGGACTTCCAATTCGGACACCGTCGTGGCAACATTGAAATGGCGGTCTCCGAATCGAGAGCCCAGAAGTCCCATAAAAATCACAAAATATCTAGTATAAAAGTGACCATCCGACTTTAAAAAGTAAAAAAACTTAAACAAAATATTCAGTGTAATATTTGGAGAATAATATTGAAATTAAATATTGTAATAAAATATGAGAGTATTAGCTCGAATAAGCTTTATTAATATAGCTCTACAATATTATTTAAAATATCACTTATGTCAAACTTGACAATACTGTCCAAATCTCATCAAAATCAATCATACAGGATGATCTTCTACATCTAACCCCTCCCTCATGAAGTCATCACTCCTGGGATGATATTTTCTTAAATTAGAAACATGCACAGATTCCTCTATGCCTTCATTGAAGTAATTCACCGATGACACTATTCCATTAAAGGTTTTAACTTTAGTAACTTCAAAAGGTCCCTTGACAACAAATTCTTTCCCAATTTTTTGATGCCTTGTTTAAATATGATCTCCAATTCTTAAATTTGGCGGTTTAAGTTTTTTGTTTTTATTTGCTTGTTGTTGTGTGTATTTTTTATATTTATCTTGTTCTTCTTTAGATTTGGGAAGTTCCTTTATCTCTATATCCAGTTCTAAAGATTTATCTGCTAGTAACGTAGGTGCCTTTCCAAACAGTTTAAAATTTGGCGAGCAGCCTAAATACTCATTATGTGAATAATTATGGTGCTGTATCGCTGCTTCTAATCCCTTTTTCCAGCCACCAGTGAGTTCAGGGTAGCATTTTAAGTAAGTTTTTATGTCCCTTATGGCTCGTTCGGCAATACCATTACTCCTTGGATGATAAGGACTAGTGTGAATTAACTTTATATTCTTACTTATTGCAAAATTTCGAAGTTCTTCAGATTTAAAAGCTTTTCCACAATCTGAAACGATGTTCTTTATTTGGTGAATATAAGGAATTTTATTTAAATAATCTATAAGGGCTCTGCTACTCTCTTTTAATGATTTGCCAAAAACATATCGTGAAGCTTCATCTATAACAATAACAAACGATTTTGTGGTTTGATTTAAATCCGACTTTTTACTCACTTCCCCAAAGTCAATATGTACAGTTTCAAATGGAATTTCAGAACATTGTGAGATGTGTATAAAATCTGGTTTAGGTAAATATTTGAATTTATTAATTTG